TTATGATTTTCCAATAACATAGAAGAATAATTTTACATATTTAGTTTTTTTTTCTCTTTTGAAAATCTAGGGGGAGTCGAGTGACTTTCTGCGGGCGTCCATGGCTATAACCCATAACGTTAAATTTCTCATTAATGTAAATGTATTTATACACCTTCATCAACATTCTTCCTCCAAGTGAAGTATTTGTTTGTTTTGAATTTCGCGCAAAGCTACACGAGGGCTATCTGCGCTAGCCGTCCCTAATTTAGCAGTGAAAGACTAAAGGGAAGGCAGCTAGTCATCATCAACCACCGCCAACTCGTGGGCTACTCTTTTACCAACGAATAGTGGGATTGACCGTCACATTATAACGCCCCCACGGCTGAAAGGGCGAGCATTTTTGGTGGGACGGGGATTCGAACCCGCGACCCTCAGATTGCGAGCGCCCCATAACCACCTGGCCATGCTGGGCCGCAAGTGAAGTACTGGAATATAATTTTTCAACCAAATATAATTACACATATATGTGTAACTAGTGTATGTTGGAAAAGGGAGAAACTTTGAAGATGTGTTCGCAATAAATTGCTGACTAGCTTTAAGACTTGCGTTATCCCACCTTTAATTGTAATTGTAATGGTGAAGTATACAATAAATTAGCAGGCAAGCGTTTCATTGAGAAGCACTTCCGCAAAAAATGCTCGCAAAATCTCTTTGGCTCTTGTTCAGCGATATGAGTATAATTACCAAGTTTGAGTATTGTCAAGTGAAGAGTTCCTTTTAGCAATAACAGGATTAGAATCTTGTCGTACGTATTGATTATACACACTCACACTTATTTGATCTCTTTCTACTAGCGACAGTTTTAGAAAGTCCGGCTTACCAGCCAGATTTTATTGCTCAGCTTCCACGTTTCAAACTCATAAAGTTCCATTAAACTGTAGTTGTCAACTGGCTCTGTTAGTCCTGGATGGACTAATGAGAACTTATAATGTTCGAAACTACAGTTCTTAGTTGGCTGTAGGTGGGCTATAGTTCTCAGCTGGCTATACTAGTCCTAGGTGACCTAATGAGAACTATAAAGATATGAAATTCCATGAACTGGACGCTCAAAGTGTTTGGTGATTGAAAGATAGTCCTACTGTCGTATCCTAAGTTAGTAGGATTGCTAGAGAGAAGACAGCCCTATTGTTAGACCATGAGTTCGTAGGAGTGTTAGAGAGAAGATGGTCCTACTGTCGTATCTCAAGTTAGTAGGATTGCTAGAGAGAAGATAGTCCTATTTTCATACCCTAAGTTAGTAGGATTGATAGAGAGAAGATAGTTCGACTGTCGTATCCTAAGTTAGTAGGATTGATAGAGAGAAGATAGTCCTACTGTCGTATCCCAAGTTAGTAGGATTGCTAGAGAGAAGACAGCCCTATTGTTATACCATGAGTTCGTAGGAGTGTTAGAGAGAAGATGGTCCTACTGTCGTATCTCAAGTTAATAGGATTGCTAGAAAAAAGATGGTCCTACTGTCGTATCTCAAGTTAGTAGGATTGTTAGAGAGAAGATAGTTCTATTTTCATACCCTAAGTTAGTAGGATTGTTAGAGAGAAAACAGCCCTATTGTTATACCGTAAGTTAGTAGGATTGTTAGAGAGAAGATAGCCCTATTTTCATACCCTAAGTTAGTAGGATTGTTAGGGAGAAGATAGCCCTATTGTTATACCATGAGTTAGTAGGATTGTTAGAGAGAAGATAGCCCTATTTTTATACCATGAGTTAGTAGGATTGTTAGAGAGAAGATAGCCCTATTTTTATACCATGAGTTAGTAGGATTGTTAGAGAGAAAATAGTCCTACTGTCGTACCATGAGTTAATAGGATTACAGAAAGAAATCTCAAGAGAGTGCTAGTATGTTTGGGCCTTAAGATGGAAGATTTTTGTTATGGTTTAAAGAATTCGATGTCTGGAATAGTCAGATTTGATCATCATGCTTACAGTTGATTCAAGGTTTCAAAGTGTGGAACACGTTTCTGTAGCAACGTAACGCGAAACATTAACGTCGGATTCATTAAGCCACGCCTGGCAATAAGCGTAAAATTTCAGAATTGATATTGCCGAAAACATGTGTTTACCTTCCGATTTTTTATAGATTTATTAGTTTATTTGAGACTGGTAATTCTGGTTTACGTATCAGTTTGTATTCTTCTTTGAAAGATTACATAATTTTGATAAATTGTATCGTTATATAGATATGAATAAAGTATATCGTAGAACTTGCTATAATAGTTTTAACAATACATTTCGCATTAGTAAAGCTCATTCTGTCAATTATAATGTTGAAAAACAACAACATAATTACAATTTACAATTCAGCCAATACTATAACACAAGAAGAACTAGGAAAATATTTACAGACAATAAGACACCTGACAGTGGACTGTTATTGAAAGTAAGAACAAGCCAATTAGCTCAGATAAGTTTGATTTGGAAAATACATGGGCACGCACACGTGTAAACATTCACAGTTTTCACATGTGTTAAAAGATACTGATAATAAAATAGGGCTTTTTTTTCAGACACTCATATAGAGAAAGGAAGAGAGAGAAAAAAAACACATAGAGAAATGAATTAGTATATAAATCGATAAATACCGATGATAAAAACAAAGTGATTTTGTTGGAAGGTCATAAAATCATATCATTTTAATTGTCGTCTGTTGAATAAACCCAACCTACTCAACAATAATTTATCCTACACCAAAAGAAAGAAAGAGGAAGAAACTTTAGAAGACTGTATACGTAAATGGGCGTCTAAGAAAGTAGTCGTTCTGTCTTACAAGTTTCTACAGTTACCAATGGGGCGATGCCTCGAGAAACTGAAAGGGCGAGGGTTTACACTGCTATTGGTTGAATAATGATAACGCCCTCTCGTGGAAATTGAGCTTATAAATTTGATAGCTAGAAGCACGTGTGTCATAGGAGGAAGAAAGAACTGCTAAGTTGAGAACTGTCATCAGAGATTAAAACAAACTGTTCATTGCCTGTTTGCAGACCTGAAGGCGCAAGTCAAAATTTGCATTTGAGTAAGTAGAAATTCACCTTAAAGTTTTATATGTAAAACGAAAGAAAAAAATGTGTGTTAAAACTCTTGGAGTAAGCTTTCTGTAATATGTTTCTTATAGACTACAGCTTACTTCTGTGTCGTAATATGTTAAATATAACAGTTAGAAGT